GGGGAACTTGTCTTCTTGACCCGCCCACTGTTTGTTTTTCTTTAAACAACCTTTTTCATTACACGACAGTTTTTACGAACGGAAAAGTTTTTGGGAAAAACGACTGTCAAACTATTAAAACAACTGGTCCGTTTGTAAAAATATAACTCTCTAGGCAACGGCCACCACTCTACATACTGCAGTCTATGTGTGTCGCAAGGTTAAACTTTAAGCTACTGTCCTTTTGGTTACTGGTTGTTTTGTAATCACGGCAGTTCAGACTTCTCGCTCTCTGTTCCAGTTCCTTTTCCCACATCCATGAAAGTATCGGCACACAGCTGCATGAGCTGCACGCGATACTACACTTAACATTATCATCCTTCATACGGGGGCTTATCTAAGGCCGTACTTTCGCATAAAGGTATTACAAGTTTTGAATCCAAGTATCACTACAGTACTTCCATAAGTGATATGACAACAAGCCGCCTGTTAACGTACCATAACCACGGTTACACTCTGGCCGTGACTGCGTAACGTTTACGTTATCTCCCGGTTGTGTGACATGAATTCGGGTAATCACGATGTTTTAGGAGCTGGGTGGGACGAGGCTCGTTTGGGTGCGAGCTGCCTACAATTGGACGTGAAAAGCTTTTATCTGGCCTGTATAAGTTATTCTCCGCGCGCCCCCGGCCGGCAGTTTTGTTACCACGCTCTCTTCCCCCGTTCATGAACACTGGTCCTCTCAAGGTTCGTTGCCCGTGGCTGCTGCCGTCGTCCGCCTCTCGTCGCTCGGCGCCGACATTACCGTTCAACGTGCGTGTCTCCTACCGCCGTGCCGGTTATGAACCGTGGTGGCGTCTCGTGAGATATTAGCGTTTTCGGTGGATGCAAGGCCCGCCCCTGTTGGGTCGTTCTCGAACAAAAGGACGCTGCGGCCGCGCTCTCAGATGAGGGAGCGGATTGGAGATCATCGATGGCTCTTCAACATCCACAGTACTCTGTCTCACTCCCTTTGACGAACGCTCTGGAGACCTGAACATCTGAGGTCTGTAAAAACAGCAGCGAACGCATCTTTGTTTTTCTGATCCAGCGCAACACACCAACTGAAATGTTCAATAATCTCATCTGTGTTTCCAACAGGTTGGTGGTGTAACTGAGTATGCCAGAGGGTCAGCTTGGTTCAGGTCCTTGGGAGGATGATGTGGCTTGCCGCAGGGTAGGGAGTATATTATATTTCTATCCAAGTGCACCGTGAATTTCATCAATCGGTTCTTGCATGACTAAACATTTTCATCCTCGCTTTACGTACCAGTTCTGCTACATTTATCTTATTTGATTCTCATTTATCTTTCTTTTCTCTTTCTATTTTTGAGTTCTGCTTATCTCCTATTTAAATACTATAGCTAGAGGAGGCTTTAATGTGTGTGCACTGTTTGGATTGGTCACTTGTGCGTCGGGCCTAGTATATCAGCAAAGGCAGTTCTATTGTTCTGATACCCCTCGTATTTCTTTGTCATTAGCCTCGTCTTTATTTTTGTCTTACAGCTGTTTTTGTGGTAAGGCTGCTGGAGATGCGCAATTTAACTTGCGAGTGATCCGCAAAAAGGGATCAATAACAGGGAATAAAGAGAAGTCTAAGTCTAATTTGCTCCTTCTTCCCTTCTTCCAAGGTCCGTGAGATTGCCTGCCAGCTGGTCTCAGCTCTGTATTACTTACACTCCCATCGCATTCTTCATCGTGACATGAAGCCACAAAATATACTGTTGGGGAAAAGTGGGGTGGTGAAACTGTGTGACTTCGGGTAGGTAGATGTTGATTATTTGAAAGAAAAAGTAGCCGTATTAATCACTCCCTCAAAGATAAACCATATGTGATGCAATCTCGCTGTAGGTTTGCGAGGGCCATGAGCGTCTCCACCTTGGTGCTGACTTCTATCAAGGGAACACCACTGTACATGTCTCCTGAGCTGGTGGGGGAGAAGCCATATGACCACACTGCTGATCTCTGGTCTCTGGGCTGCATCCTTTATGAACTCCACACGGGGGCGCCTCCGTTCTACACGAACTCCATCTTCCACCTGGTGCAGCTTATAGTGAGAGACCCAGTCAAATGGCCTGACACTATGAGCGACACCTGCACGGTACAGTGCAGCACAGATACGGTCTAGTCGTGCTGTATCATGTTTGGGTCAAAGCCAGCACTGTATGACAAACAGAATATATTGCCTTAATTAAAGTGCTTATCTGATATTTCCCTTACAGAGTTTCCTAAAAGGTTTGTTGACCAAAGACCCTCAGAAGCGGTTGTCGTGGCCAGACCTCTTGCACCATCCCTTTGTTGCCGATGGTGTTCCAGGTGATGCTTCTAACTCTTCATTTCCATTTCCAAACATGCATGATGCTGGTCTGTGTTTGAGATGACTCTGTCTGATTTTGACTGTTTTCTTCCCACACTGATGTGTTGGCACAGTGCTGTCAGACACAAGTGTTTTCAGCCCTCTGACAGTCACGCCCAGCCCAGATATGCTGGCGCGGAAACTTCAGCAAGTGGCAGCGAAGACGGTGCCGACTTCTGGAGAGAGCAGGCTATTGCGAAAGGCCAGGGAGCAGAAGGACAACAGCAACAGGGGGAAACCAGAGGGCAGTGACGGTGTTAAAGTCAGTCACAAATCAATTTCTCATTCTTAGATTAGTCACATGGAAATTCACGGGGGAGCTTTAAGCTGTTCTGTATACATTAACAGAAAAAGAAGGATGGAGTGGGAAATGAAAGGGACAACTCTACCGTGGCGGCGGCATCTCCTCGAGCCAAACCCATGACAGCTGCCAATCAAAGCCTCAACCCAAAGAGTCAAGCCTGCATGAGATCAAAGAACAGGTGTTTATGGAAGTTTAGAATAAGTATATAATATACTAGCCGAGCAGACTGAGGTGTTAACAGTTATGTGTACGTCATCTGCAGGGGTCAGATCAGCAGGGACTATGAACAGGAGTTCCCCTCTGTAGAGGTTGGACCAGGACTAGTGCGGAGATGCAGTGAGGACAGTCAGATCACACTGCACAGGCAGGTTGGTGTCAGCTGCTTTTTCTTGTGGTAATAATACATTGTCTGTTTAGAAAATGTGTTTTATAATAGTGAGTTTATATTCTCTTCCTGTTGCAAATCGGTCCTGATAATAGAGAAACTGGTTGCTTTCTTCAAGGAAGATGTGCCCTACAGTATCAATAATTCCTTGTTCCCCCTCAGGATTTTGACAGTGAGGACTATTGGGAGAAACTGGCACAAGAATCAGACCCGAGCAGGCAGGAGAAAGAAGTGTTAAACCACAGTGCCATCATACCTCAACTTAAATCCAAGATCCTGACATTTAAAGCTCAGGTAATTAGGTACAACTTTCAACTGCGCATAAATGGATTATACAGTTATTTTGCATTTAGTCTTTTTCTTTGTTTTGGTCAGCTAACAGGTGGCGTGGTTGAAGAAACGTGGCAAATTCACCGGCCGCTGAAGGTCTTACACAACCTGATTCTGACCTCTGACCTCGAGAAGTCGTACCAAATCGGCCGGGAACTTGGGCTACCCCATGTCCTCTTTGACCTAATCCATGATACTGTAGAAAACTCAAATTCCAGCAAGGTTGTAGCTCATGAATGGGGCATTTTTAACAATACATCATTCCTGCAACAGTAATCCTGACTTTTTTGTAAATTCTTTTTTCTTTTTATACTTTTTTTTAGCAACCATGGAGTGTGCCAGTGCTTGGAGAAATTATTGTTGTGCTCATGATCTACTGGGAGAAGCACAGTGACTGGGTGGAAGAAGATAACAGGTTTGATTTTTCCTTTCTTCACTGAAGCTGATTGTGTTGATTTTTTTAATGCTGTATGTATCCAAGTGAATGACTACTTCACAGTCAATCAACTGTTGCAGGCAGATGATCCTCTTTTCTCTTACTGTAGACTGGAAGAGTTCACCAAGCCCTTCGTCACAATTCTCAGTCACCCAAACCTCATTCCTTTAGCAGTAAGTATTCATGAGGATATACTGCACATGGTTTTACACTTAGCTTGTTATGTGACACAGCTGATTTTGTGATCTCTTCTTTAGCCTCTAGCAGCCTCTGTTTTGTCTCTGTTAACAAAACTCGATGTTGAGATCCAGGTTGATATGGACAATCTAACTTCCTTGATGAAAAACCTGCTTTTGGACTCGTATGAGGTACTGAATCTTTGAGAAGTCATTTGCATATTTGGCAAATTGTGAGTTTAAAGTGATTCACGGTTGTGTCCTCTGCCTCGTCAGCCTCAGCTTTCTCTTCCCTCTGGCTGGGGACTCTGTGATGGCATCCTCTCTTTACTCCTGTACACACTCTCTGAGGTCAGACAATAACTACACACTGATAAAACATTTGACTGGGTGGATAACGGAGATAAGACAGCATTTCTTTTTCTTTTAACAGCACGAAAATGGCTCTGGATCTTCATGTTTAGATCCAGTCATGTTTCTGGATCTATGTAAAAGAATTGGTACTTCACTATCAAAGACAGCAATAGACTCAGACTTCTGTTCGGCACATGGTAAATATGCGTATTCTCTGAAGCCCTCCGTATTAAAAACCCTTTTGTGCATGTTTTTTACTTTTCATTTTCTTTCAACATCAGGACTGCATTCCTTTTTGTCTACCGCGCTGTTCGTCTACACCAAGGATCCATACTCGTGCATTCCTCTGTTTTCTGACTTTGAATCAAAGTGTGTATACACTCTTGGCAGGCTGCTGGGCACTGACTGGTTGGTATTCAGATTTCCTAATTAACGTACTGTTTCATTTGTACCGCCGATCTTAGAGCAGCACAGCTACTACGCCTGGAGCTAACAATAACATCTTTTATACCCCACAGTCTTCATTTGTTTGCTGGAGGCGGTCCTGAGAGACTTGAGCTGGATCTGAGTCACGACAGCCTGTCCGTGTTGAGCTGCCACTTGTTGTGCTTTCCGTTCGCCCTGGACCTGCCTCCACACACCATGTCCACGATTTTCCAGTTGTACGACAGTTGTGGTATTGTTACAAGCCTCCTGCAGGTTAGGGCCTTTCCATGCTCCGATAAAGACCTCGCTGATAAATATAATTCTCTGATGCAACACAGAATAACTCTTGCAACAGGCTCACATCAGGCACACACTACTGTACATCCTAATGTCTCTTGTGAGAGTATTGTGTTGTTTGTTGTTAGCTGTTTGATCTGTGATGAGTTGTCTGGATGATTTTGTTTTTCCGCGCTTTGGCAGGTAATTCAAACTCTTCCTCCTCCGCTCCTGGAGCTGCCTCTCTCCCTGCTGAGCCGTTTGCTCCTGTGTGACCCAGAGCGCTCAGTTCCCCGCCTCAGAAAAGCTGCTAGTGGCTTTTTGGCGCCACCCAGGAGCAGCCAGCTCACTGCCTCCAAACACCCGGCTCCGCTAACCAGAACTGCCAGCTCTTTGCTCGCTCACTTGCTGCAGCTGGATGTGCTGTGGGATTCTGCCGTGGAGCTCCTAACTCTACTGTCCCAAGAAGCCCGCTGTTCCCCTCGGCCCGCCCACCTTCAACTTCACCTGGAAGCCTCAGTGCTGCACCAGGCGCTGGCTCACTCTCATGACCAGATCAGGGCCGCCACATGCAGACTTTTGGGACATTTAGATCCGTTCAGGCCTCCTACACTGCACACCCTGCAACCTGACATTTTCAAAAGCATGATCGAGTGTCTTCATGATTCCTGCATGCCTGTACGGCGGATGGCTTGCAGGGCAGTCGGGAACTGGTTGGGATATATTGCGGCAGGGGCAGGGTTTAAAATGGGTAGGTCCAAAGGAAAGGGCAGTGACACTGCAGGGTGGGGCAAAGAGACGGGACAAAATAAACGCAGCGAGGCAGCAGCAGGACATTTGGCAACTTTAGTAGAACAGGGAGTGGACGATGAGCAGGGGCGCGAGTGGGTAGAGGAAGCCAGGAGGACGGCAGCCATGCTGGCGTCTCTTGTCACTGACCCAGATGCCCTCACGCGCCGGCACTGTTGTGCAGCCCTGGGAAACCTGGTATATGTTGATGGCGCTGTGTCCTTGTTGTTGGAGGAAGATGTGCCCAGCTCACTCCTAAGAGCTGCATGCACGGATTCCCATAATGCAGTGAGACAAGCTGCCATAGCGACCCTGTGCCTGTACAGCGAGCAGGACACGATACGTCAGGTAATGAGATGAACAGGCTACAGGAGGGAAGGTGTCAGCATTACAATGAGTCTGTTTCTGGTTAGAAAGAGCTTTTTGTAGTTGTTACATAACGAATGTAATATAACTAACTATAACTAATTGGCTATAAGAGAATATTTAGTTTCTTTATGAAGGAAAACAATTTCCCTCTAATGCCTTCAGGGCTAACCTCTTCATCGGCAGCATTGCCCTGATCTCATTCATTCCATACATTTGTTTACTGCTCATAGTTCATTGCATATTGGCACTTTGAACAGGTATGAATCTAAAATATTTCCGGGTTAGTCACTCTCTTTTGCATTTATTTGAAGGTCCTGATCTCCCTCGATGCCAGTAAGAAACTTCTTCAGGCTTCACAACGTACACCTCAACAATGCGACTATCATGGGCTCATTGAACAGCTGTGAGTCCAGTTCACCAGGAAGGACAGCAGATCTTAATGCCCTGTGTGAAGAATTCTCCTCTTTCCTTACGTTACAATACAACTTCCTACTCTCTTGAATACTGTGTTCAAGGACTACAGACAATGATCATATCCCCTGTTTATTATTTTCTATCTAAAGTGTGTCTTTAAAATGTTTTTTTTTTACCAATACACAGAATGAAAATGTCACAAATAAAAAGTCACTTTTCTAAATTAAAATCTTTGTTGGCACCAATATTGTGGTTGTGTGTTGAAAGTCTGTCATTACTGTTATCTGATGTTTCGTTTCATGACACCACTTCAAATTACATGAGACTATAATTAATCGAAACTCCGCATAAAGGACGGCAGTTTGTATTTAATTAGTGGAAATATTCCTTTACCTTTCCTACTCCGCAGTAATAGTCATGAATCGCGGTTATAGAAGAAGATAGGTGAATTCATTAACTTTTGTATGAGAAATCTGTCTCCTATCACAGCAGCACAGGTTGTAGTTTTTGTAGATGTGTTTAAGTACAGCGCAAGTTATTGATTTTTAGGCGGATGTGTCTCGTTACACAAATTGATCGATATGGTCATAAGAATTGATGGCGTCATAAGTTTTAGGATTTTAAAGCCTTTTGAGGCAAATTTTAGTTTATTTTTTTATTACGCAACATAAAATGTAGCAACTTGATTTATTGAACTGTCGGGCCACTGCAACCAGTATTTTTTCCCAACAGCAGACAGGCATTTTTCGGAGGTTTAGACGTTGAATTAATTCCTTTTTTTAAGTCGTTCATTTTGCAGGGTAACATCGACTCAACCAGAAGGCTTCATAAAGATAATAATTATAAGTTATCGTTCGCTCCCAAGCGTCCGGGCCGCGGGGTCGGATCCGGAAGGAGCGCTTGTCGGCGTCCATCAGGCCCTGACGGTTCCACAGATTTATTAAGATTTAAAAAAAGGCAGGAGTTGTTTTCAAGCTCAGTTAGATTGTAATTAATGATCATTAAAACAGTCGGTACAGTGAAAACCATTTCCTGTCCTCTCCCCGCCTCGGAGACAGTGAAGAAGCACACCGAACTGAGTTGGAGACACACTTTATTTTTTTAAAGGAAAAAAAAAAAAGAGTTGACATCACACAAAGTAAATATGCATATATGGGTAAATGAACTTGACATTACAAAGCGTTATAATGTTCTGTCATCACACATTTTTGGTTTCAACAATCGGAGTTGATAGTACACCGCAGAGGGGGTCAAACATGTGACATGAATTTCTTTCCAAAAGCTGGACAAACGTTATAAATACATGTCTATAAGTCAGCGCTCATATCCAAGATTGTCTAAAATAAATATGCATAGAAAGAAATCTATCCTCGGTATAGGCAGTAACAGTAGTGGTTATTTGCTTAGCAACAAATTAATTGTAAAATAACTCAGACAGTATCCTCTTACACCAAAGCTAACACTGCAAAAGCCTCAACAAATAATCTAATGAGATTTTATTCCCCAGTTAATTTTCTACAAAGGAAAGGCTAACACACTCCACTCTCTGAACATACAAAAGTTGTTACAAATTAGTGCAGATCAGCCAGAGGCCTATAAAACTTATTGCCTTAACAAGCAGTGTAGAGAAAGAATCCCAGACTTGTTTCTAAAATCCTACATTTTCTATTCAAAGAGAGAGAGAGAGTATGTTAATGGAAAAACATGCAGAAGGAGGCTGCTAAATCTCCACAAGTTACAATATTTGTACAATAAGGAAAGCCTTTTTTTTTCTTCTTCTTTTTTTTTTACATCAAACAGGAAAATTTGTAAGTCAGTAGCAGTGAAATAAAAAAGGACAGTAGTCTCAATCATCCACTGACATTTGTAGGACTGGAGGACAAATTGCATATCCTGAGCTGCAAAAATTGATTAATTTAATTTGCAATATGCAAAAGAAGACAATTTTACAAATCGTCACAAACACAATAAAATGTTTCCACCTTCAAAACTGTGCAAATGATAAATAAGTTCTATTTTGGTCACAGAATGTATTATTTGGACATTATTTGCAATCGCTGCTGGAAAAAAATAAGTAATTTTTTTTTTTAAAGTAATACAAAAATCCAGAAAATAAAATAAATACAGCAGACAAAGTAACGTTTCTAACAAAGCAGGGTAAAATGTAGATGTTTGACCTTTAGCAAAACAAAAAAGGAAAAAAAGAACTACATGCTTAAAACTTACAAATCAGAATATCTAATAATAATTAGGGCTGCACTAAACCTGAAGTCAATCCAACACTTTGTCAAATAAAAACAAACAATATTAAATGATAAAAATGGTAGATTTTTGCTAAGGTGGATGACGAAAAGTTGTTTGCTCTTCTGTATATCAGCGGATCTTTTTCGCAATGTTAAAGTCAATTCCAATATTTTAAAATATTCATAGCATTTTAAATATCTGCCGTTCAAGGGAGGTTTGAAAGATGTGCTCAAAATGAAATGATGCTGTTTCACATGTGGACAACAACAACAACATATTTGTCTACTTCAACTACTGAAAATGTAATGGCAAATAAAAATAAATAAAAAAACAACATTAAATTCTATTGCTGACATCAATTCCAATGTAAGGCTATTAAAAATATTAAACCTGCATAATGAATAGCATTACTTCTTCAGAAATAACCGTATTTCAATCAGTAGATTCACGCAGTGTGAGATCTATTAAAAATGATTGTCGTTAAAGCATTGGAACGCCACAGTGCACGCTCAAGTGATCAGAGTGCGAAAGCAATGGAAGCATTGGATAGGAGTGTTGGTTTAAAAGGTAAAAAATAATTCACGTTAGCAAAGCATGCATTTACCCCGCCCGCCATGAAAAAAAAAAAATTCATTAAACAATCTTAAAGACACAAACATTTTCCCTGTTCCGCCCCCTTTAAGAGTACTTGCAGGAGCTTGGTGTTATGCTGTGGTGTCCTGCTTGTGCCTTTGGCTGCGGGCCTTGTAAACTTCAATCAGCAGGTCTTTGACATACTGGATTTCTCGTTCTACCGACTCTGCCTTGTCCCGGAGCTCCCGGTTCCTCCCTTCAAGGCAATGCAACTGTTCCTCCAAAGAATCTAGCTCCGCCCTTTTTCGCTGGCGATACCTGCGTTAGGCAAGACAAAGATTGAATGAAGCTCTTCACCTGTCACATCACGTCAAACGTTATATTTCGTCGAGCAGAAACTAAAACTTACCTGTGAGCGGCAGTTTTGTTCTGATCTCTCTTCTTCTGTTTGCGCTCGCCGCCTTCAGCTGGGATGATGTCCACATCGTATTGCAAATCACAGTGGTCTTCCTTCAGCCTGCAGGCTTGTCTGTGCCCTGAAGACTCCATGTTCAGACTCTCCCTAGCCATTAAAAGACACTCTGGGCCCTGATCCTCCAGGAAATTACAGTGTAAATCATGTTGCCCTATCTGAAGACTCTCTGATTTCACCTGTTCGTTGATGTTGCCTAAAAAGCTATGATAGGCCTCAGACTGCGGCGTTGCTGGAAGGTAACAACCTTCGCTGCTCTCTGACTTCCAAGAAACAGTGGCTTTTGTCACCTCCACACTAGTTTTGATACTATTCAGCACCTCGTTGTTGCCAGTGCCTCCGCTGACCTCCCTCATGCTATACATCAGCAGATCCTCTTTCTTATGTGGGACATCAAGTGATCCACCAAAGCCAAATCCACCACCAACAACCTTCGCACCACCTACGACATCTTGACTGAAACAGCAATTCTTCTCTTCTTTCGGTAGAACGGCACATCTCCTGACCTCGACTGCACTACCCAGACAGTAGCTTTTCCCTACCAGCTGCTCGTCCTCTACACAGCCATAGTTACCTGTAAGGGTCGCCGCTGAGTTACCTGAGTTACTTCCTTTGGAACTCAATGAACTGTTATCGTAGCCTTCACTGAACCTCACACCATCAGGAACCCTTTTCCTACCACACCCACTGGGGCGACTGCAGCTATATGGGGCGTGTCTTGGTATTTTGGATCGCCCAATGGGCCCGCCACAGATACTGAGCAGGTCCAGTTCTCCCGTTGCCAGGGTAACAAGAAGTGGGCTGGATTCCGATTGGTTGGATGTAGAGTATGATGCGTATGGCAGCTGACTGTACGGCTGAGGACCCGCCGGCAGTGGACCCCTGTCGCATTTTCCCAGCCTCGGCCCTTTCTCTGGCAGTGGTTCAGACAGGAAGTAGTCCTCTAGTTGGGCCAGTTCCTCTTGCAGCAGAGAGGTCATGACCTCCAAGTCAGAGGGCACCTGGATATCATTCTGAAGGGGTGAAGGGGGAAGGGAGGCATTGGTGGAGGAGGGAGGGGAAGGAGGGTTTGGGAGGTACGAGGAGAAATCCACTTCTTCCGTCATCCAGTCAGTGAGACCATCACCTATAAAGGAGAGAAAATGAATGCAGTCGTTACATGCTGCTTGGTGGAGGAGAATATCACAGCTAAATAACGTTCATGCAAATGTTACAAAAAATAGCAGTCACCCAACACTGCACATAGCATTTTTCTAAAGGCAAAATCTGATCGACGATAGTAAATGCAAAACATGATTTTTTTTCTTCTAAATATAGTTGCAGCATAGCGGCACATTAAGACGTAGCTAGTTTATTACTTACTGTTCAAGAAGGACGAATGTGCTGCAGTGCCGAGCCCACCTGAAATGGGGAAAAATATAAAAAAGCGTACTCGCTGCAACTCACCAATTAAGTGCTGACTCTCCTCTGACACCTCCCCCCTGCACCCCTGTGATTGGCTGTGGTTAGCCTGTGGGTGAGAGAGAGCGAGGGGGTCTGCCGGGCAGACACGAAGAGTCTTCCAAACAGGAGCTGATGTTGCCATCATTTTGTCTGTTGGTGCTTTGATTCAGTCCAAGTCCAAACATATGTTGAGAGCAAGCAGGGTCTGACAGATGGGCCACAGAGAGCAGGGCTGGGTGAGCATAATGAAACCTAGAGGGTAAACACAAAACAGATCAGAAATGTGCTGATAAAAAGATGCAACTCATTCAGTCCACTGATGGGATCAGGAATATCACTACTGCTGCCCTCAGCAAGTTTCTCAACATGACTCAGTCTGCTGACCGAGGGGCTACAGTCAGGAAATCACCTGCAAGGATCATTACATGCAATTAACTCTCCAGAACATGCACCTTTGACAACAATATGTCAATAAACAACACAAACAATACCAATTAAATAAAACTATAATTTAAAATCAACTATTTCAAAAACCAACCCTCAGAACTGCCACAGTCAGTGACACTGAGGTGGGTGTGTGTCCTTTGGGCTTTGACCTGCCTCAAAGCAAAATGCACTTGACGTCCTCAAAACACGTGGGACCTGGTGACGCCTTCAACTGTTGCCAAGAAGCTCCAACTCAACTCTGGAGACTCTGATCATTAAATCGGATTAATGCAGATCCGCTGCTTCAGATCGCATGTCCCTTTCAAAGTAATCGCACATCTGTTTGACCACTTAAGCAGTTTAGGTGAATGTAATTAAATATACTAAATGATAATGTGTGTAAACATACAAATGAAAAGTGTGATGCTGCATCTCCAGTGTGCAGAACATGGGCTGCAGGTTGTACATTTATATGATATATAAGTTACTATAATGCCATCACACAGTAACTCTGCCACGCACTTTTATCACAACCCAACCAAACAACCACAATCAACCTCAACCCCGGACACAACGCCATTAAAGAAACCTGGAATTTAAGCACATGTTATATCCAGTCATATGAAGATATTAAAAAAAAGAATAAACTGTGTAAAGAAAGCAGGTAAAACACCACTGTGGCTGTAACCACTTGTGACAAGCAGGCACAACAAGCTGAAAACTGTAACAACAACACAGTGACACACTTTACACAGCTGAACGGATAAAGCGAGTCGAGACAGATCCACTTACTCCATTATTGCAGAGAAAAATGTAGAGCACTTGGGGGTGCGTTGCTAAAGCAAAGCACGACTTCTTCTCGGGTCCGACAACTTCACGAGTTTAAAGAGCCATGTTTTAGCTCGGAATATCCGGGGCAGCGCTAACAAAAACAAAACAGACGAGTTGTTGCTTTGTTGTGTCCGACCTGTAAACTGAGGCGCTGCTTAATTGTGAGAAAGCATCAGTTCATTCACACCTAGCAACCGACTGCGTCACCGGGGCAAACCGTGCTGCCGAGCGTAGATCCCTCCGCCCCCACCCGCCGCGTCTCACCGAAGGACATCCCACAACCTCACTGCCGGGGCTCCGTTATAAAAAGTAGAGTTACTCGTTCCTTGATGCTTCTTTCAAAAGTAGTACCGACTCTCATTGTAGTATGTAATGATTAGCTGTCATGGCAGTTTCTTTCACCTTCATAAACTTTGCTCCTGTTGAGAGAAAATAATATATATATATATAAAGAGAGAGAGAGAGAGAGAGAGAGAAAGGCAACACTTTTAGCATTATTTGCAAAACTAACGTTAGTTTAGAATTTAAATGTAGTAAAAAATTACCTGCTACTATCTGAGGGTAATTAATTCAATAAAACAGGGACATGTCACAGCGGAAGGGGCTGTTTTACTGTTTATATCTCGGTAGTAATCCGAAAAGTAATCACATGACTGTAACGCTCTCGTCATTGTTTTTTCTTTAGCCCTTTGTTGCTATAGAGACGGGGCAGTGCCGCCAGTTTCTGGGCTCGACGGTGTAGACCGCTGCTTTAAATAACACTCCACCACCTGCTAATAGGCTTGATTTACGTGAACACGGCTCTCAAACACACACCAATACAGCTCAGAGACTGTACCTTACTATGTGGCACGGTGGTATTTTTTTGGAGGGGGACTATTTGATTCAAAACGCACTTTGTTGTTCAGTAGAGAAAGTCTGTTGCATCTCCGTTGCATCAGTGGTCCACGCTCAGAGCGATTGGCTGCGCGTGCTCAGACTGCCGTGCTGCCATTGGTTGGAATGGGCTACAGGTGAAATCTGATTGGTCGACGGTAGGCAAGGCAAGAGCATCGCTGTGTTGTTATCTTTTTTTTTTTTTTCTCCTGCAGTGCAGACTGTGCACATGTTTCAAGTAAACAAACCGGGCGTGGATATCAGTGCAGCGGAGTTTAAAGCTGAGGAAAAGCGTTGTTACAGTTATAAAGCTCATTAATACACCGTGAACACAGAAGAGCTTGTGGTGGTCAATGTTTGACTGATTAGACAGATAGACAGAGCAAATGAGTGTCATTCATGGCAAGACTTAAAAGATACTCTATAATAGGAATCCATGTTGTCATCAAAGGCGTACAGTCTCTCTGTATTATTACTTTGTACTTACTCTATTGTTAATTATTTCAAATCATGATTTCAATTTCTTCTTTGACATATTTAATCAATAGTTGTCAGCTCATATGGATATTAACGTCACCAGGGGCATTGTCTGATGAAATGACACAGTGTTAGAGAATAATGGGAGCTGCATTATTCCCTCTCTGTTGTTGACTGTTATCCTAATGTACTTTGAGAATCCTTAGTTTCATGGATAATTTAGTGAGACACAGCTGTCGGATCCAAATTAATTTACTTGTAAAGACTGTCAATAACAATTATGTGAGGAATAAAGCTTTGTTTTTCTCCTTTCAGCAAATCCCGACGCTGAGTGAATGTGCTGTTCTCCTGTTGCTATAGTAATAGCGGACACTGCCCCCTATTTTAGACTTGTTTTCTGGTTGCTGTTGCCATGGGATTTGCATCTCTCTCTCTCTCTCTCTCTCTCTCTCTCTCTCTCTCTCCATACCTGCGGTTTTCCCACCACCTCACTTTCTGCACCCCTCCTTGCCTCACCATTCCTCCATCTGATTTGCTGAGTTGCATTATTATTTTGCCAAAACCAATGTTTTTTATTTCCAGTTTTGCTGAATTTGCATACTGATGGGACACTACAGGCTAGCCTCTAATAGAGCTGTCCACTGAGCACATCTAACTTGAGTTGATTGCACATAATCACTTTATCCAGAATGGCTTAAGAGGAGTTGTTTCCACACAAAGCGAATCTTCTTTGAACAGAGTTCACACAAATGATGCGTCTGCAAATTATATTGAATATGAGTAAAACGTTCTGTGTAGGACTCGATACACACAAGTCCATCTGTGTTAATCTGAGTCATTTAAAGGGACAGCTCTGTTACAGAGGAGCTATTCAGCAAAAAGCCCACCGTATGGTCGCTACCATATGAGTGGCTTTGAGAGATTTGTAGAACGGCAACCTGATGCAATCTAGATAAATGTGGTTGTAATGGAGACCAGATTGAGATAGTAGCTGGTGAAGTTGGAGGGTCTCCCAGGAAATCGCTGACTGCTCTCTCTGTCTGTATTAATTGGTCCACCGAGGGCTTCCTGTTTGCGCATCATGAGAGAAATCCAAGGTGTTCATGACAGCACTGCTACATTTCCCCGTTCTCTACTATCAAGTACAGTTTCCTTTCTCATTATTTAGGTAAAGATGTAAAGTGTGTAAATTACGCAGCAAAATACCTTCAACTCTCCCTCTTGCTTTAGGTAATCTAATGGGCTCAAAGTCTTACAGCCAAATTTGGTTAATCTAAATTTTGCAGGTTGTTAAAACCAAACGTAACAACTGGTGAGTCAAAGGAAGTCTGTTAAACGTTGGCTCAAACTGGACTTTAGATACATTTGAGATACTTATTACTATGTTCTATATCGAGACGAGGCTGTCCATCAGTTGACACTCAAATTCATTGTCTGAATATTGTGTATGAGCCCAGAAGTCAGAAAAGTCTATGCTGCATGCCAAGTGCATGTATGGCACGTTAGTGAGGGTTACACCATCATTTCATCATCATCTCTCTCAGAATTTATTGTCCTCAACTTTTGCCCCTCTTTGAACATACGATGAAAACATGGGATTCAGTTACAACTTGTGAATGGAAGACCCTCAGAGGGGATTTGTGGATGTTTTCGTGTGCGTTCAGCCTACAAATCACCCCTATTTGTTTCTGTGTCCATTTGTTTCTGTGTTTGGCATGAAAATAGTTAATTTAATCTCAAAAAAGTGACAAGCATAATAACATTTTCATTCATGGATGTAATCTAGGCTAACTTCATTTTGCATTCAGCCATGACAGATCTGAACCAGTCAGTCACAGAGTTATGTTTATTTACTATTCCTCAAGAACTTCATGGTGAATTGGAGCTGGTTGATGTAAAGGACTACAGCGTCTGTTTTGTCCTCCTTTGGGATGTCACAGCTTTTAGGATATCCCTCCTAACTACCTCTAACACCTAAAGGCATCTTAAATGAAGATATGCATAGCACACAAAGCTCAGAATATTCTGACCTGAACTCCATATTGTAAAAGTTTACTTCAGTATCAGCAGGTTGAGTACATTGTCACATATTGTGGATGGAAAAATGCATAAAATTAACAAAAATCACAGATGACCTGAAGAAAAACAGAACAAAAACAGAATTATCGAGATTGTAAAATAATAATAGAGGGTCACAGATTTGTACTCAAACTTACTGTTCGTGCATCATTTGTGTTCTTCATCATTTTAGCTCTTTAAGCAAACAAGTCCCAAGTGGTGCCTCAGTGTTATTCGCAGCACTCAGGCTGTGTCGTGCTGCCCTGCAGAACCCTTTAAACCCCCAGAGGCTTAACGTCTATCACCTCTGAGCTTTACACAGCCGATATTCATTCAGGCCATATGCTTCATGCTCATAACACACTTTTAACAAATACTATTCACTCATTAGAGCTTAACTCAGTCACTCAACTTTATTTTATATTCAAGCTGAACTTTAAATTCTGAACGTTAATTCAGGAAATCAGTCAGGAAATTTAAAACATCTGGCTTTACTGTAAAAAAACATTACATCCCTCATCATTCATCACTTTTTTTATAGAATATTATAGTAATTTGGTTGATGCTTTTATTCACTTTATTTTAATTCAACTAAACAAACAGATATACTGAGGGCAAAGGTCAAGGCCATGGTACCCCAATTTTTACAATCTAAAAACTGGGCAGAAGTTGGACTGAACACACACACACAATCATACTCACAGTTACATCAGGTTTTCACACTGCAATGATATTGGAAAGTACTTTACTTTCATGGCTGATAAAAAAGAATAATATCCCACACTGGTGCAGTTCTATTCACAATCAATGTTTTTGTTGGCCTCATTAGGTCAGCGCTGGTGCTTTTACTTATTTCCCCCCTCTGGATATTTTTCAGATACCATTGTTTTGCTTGGCATGAAATCCCAAAACGTGTTTCTTTTATTGTAATTTAATGATTTGTATACATTGTGTTCCCTATTTTGAATTAATGCTGTCATTTTACATTGACTTCAAAGAGAGAGAAGATGAATTGTTCAAAGAGTAAACATTAAGAGTGGAACTTTCACTGCTGTATCAGATGCATTTAGTGAAAGCCTCTTTCATCTGCTATGTCTGAGTGTGTGTGTGAGTGTGTGTGTGTGTGAGTGTGTGTGTGTGTGTGTGTGTGTGTGTGTGTGTGTGTGTGTGT